TTTTTTTTTTTTTTTTTCTTTTTTTAAATGAGGGTTTTGGTAGAAGTCAAACAGGAAGCTGCACTGATATGTAACCAAGTGGGTGTCAGTGCTGAGACTGAGCAGTGGGCTCCTGCCCACCCCTCCCTGTCCCTTCCCTTGAGAAGATGGCTTTCTTGGGCTGGGCTTGGGGCAGTTAGGAGGAGGCTGTGAGATTTGTTGGGGAGCCTGCCTTCTTGGTCCCTGGCTAGGTGAATCTCTTGACACTATGGAGAGTGGGGAACGTCCTCCCTGGAGAGAACTGTTGTCCATTTCCATGTTTATGCGTCCTTCCCTTCAGGGGTTAGGGGTGGGTCTGCTTATTTTTACTTTTTATGAAATGTAAGGTGAATTCCTTTCTTTTGCCTTTCTCTCCTAAAGGACCATTGTACTAGAACTTGGGAGGAGAGAACAGGGCAGCCGGGCTGCAAATGTCACAGCTGCTGGGAGAGGGAGAGAGAAGCTATGCTCTTTGGTTAAGAGTCCAGGAAAGCAGACAGGCTCAGCAGTGGAGGTCTGTGGGCATCTCAGAGGGTGGGGACTCCAGAGCAAGTGAAACGCCAGAGGGTCAGGACAAGCCGCTGGGATGCTGCCTGGTACCAGAGAGAGTGGGGCAAAGGCAGGGTTGTGCTAATTGAGTGAGCTCAGAAGGGTGGCCCCGACTAGCCCAGAAGCTGTGGGGAGTCTGAGGTGCTGTTGTCTGGGAGCATTAGCTGGTCCCTCGCCCTCCCCGCCCCCCAGTGTGATGGTCTGACTGAATTCAGGGGCCAGTCTCCTGAAGCTGGCCCAGTGCTTCAGAGCAGGCCGCCTCGCCTTGAGCAGAGTTTGCTCCTCTAAAGATCCTCCTGCCTCAGCCACCAGGGAGCCGGGGAGCTCAGGGTGTGCCACCGATGCCCGGCTTTCAATGGCCTTGGACGGTGTCCATTGCAACCTTCTGGTTTTGAGGACATTTGCTGATGTGCACCGAGAGGACAGTGGGGTGGGACAGTTGTCCCTGTCCTTTGTGGTGCCGTTACCCCGTCCTGCACCACTGCCTCCTGCTGCTTGAGCACCAGCTCCAGCTGGATTTTTGGTTGTTTTGTTTTGTTTTTTAAGATATTTATGTATACAAGTGCCCTGTCTGCATGTGTACCTGCAGGCCAGAAGAGGGCATCAGATCCCAGGAGAGATGGTTGTGAGCCACCAAGTAGTTGCTGGAATTGAACTCAGGTCCTCTGGAAGAGCAGATAGTCTCTCCAGCCCCCTATCTCCAGTTGTTCCTCATCCACCTTGCCATTGGGGCTTTGCTGCTCTGTGCAGAGCTCCTTTCCCTGTCCCCATTCTCAGTTGGGCATCTTTACATTCAGCCGATGTGGATGCTGCCACATATAACTGGAAAGGGGCCTCAGTACAGAGTGTTCTTTGTGGTGGGGAGGGGCTTCCAGTCTTGTCTCCTCCCCATCCTTCCATGGGTGTACTGGAGATCCGAATCCTCCACCCCCCCAGGTTTAACCCCCCCACTCTGCCCTCCTCCTGCCCCACCCCTCCTCCCCTCAGCCTATGGAGATCTTCGTGGATGACGAGACCAAGTTGACGCTGCACGGGCTGCAGCAATACTACGTGAAACTGAAGGACAACGAGAAGAACCGGAAGCTCTTTGACCTTCTCGATGTCCTTGAGTTCAACCAGGTCAGTGTTGAGGGTCTGTGGGTGTGAGCACTGGGCAGAGCCCTGTGCACGAGTAGCCTGTGCTTGGAGGAGGTGAGAGCGGTGCAGCAAGTCTCCACTGGGGGAGAGATCTGAGGAGGGTTCTGGATGACGTCAGTAAGCGGAGAGGCCTTGAGGTGAGGCTCTGCAGTCCTCCTCACCTGACAGCAGTGCCAGCCGTGCTCGCTACCTGAGAGCCGCCATGGGTCTGGT